TAGAAGCAGGAAAAATGGGCAGCGTGAGGATTTGAGCGACTTTGACAAGGGCCAAATTGTGATGGCTAGACGACTGGGTCAGAGCATCTCCAAAACTGCAGCTCTTGTGGGGTGTTCCCGGTCTGTAGTGGTCAGTACCTATCAAAAGTAGTCCAAGAAAGGTTCATGGGTGGCCAAGGCTCAAGTGGTCTGCTCCAACATACGAGCTACTGTAGCTCAAACTGCTAAAAGAGTTGCTGTTTCTGATAGAAAGGTGTCAAAACACACAGGGCTTCACAGTTTGTTGTGTATGGACTGCGTACATGCAGACCAGTCACGGTGTCCAGGTGGTCATAATGTTATGGCTGATGTATATCTAAGCTTCCACAGTCTACGCAGGAAGCCTTTTCGCCACCACTCAATTACATCATTACAATGTTGTCAATTTCACCTGGTGTCAGAGTCGGCACTCAAGCTAAAATAATTTGAATAGTGGAGCTTGCTGAAGATCCTACGTGCTTTTTTTCTTTCTTTCAGGTACAGTGTGGATTGTGAAACGTCAGAGATTTCTGATAGTCACATTGTGTTTCCAGCCTACAGAAACAGTAGTAAACACTGTATGTTCCAGTCTGATCCCCTGCTCTTCAGCTGTGTGAGGTCAAACCACTCCTTTATCCGCATCTGCCCCTGTAGAGACTACATTAAGGACCAGATAGCCTTATGCAAGGCATGTATCTAACGGCTGGATTGAAAACATGTTCTTCCTGTGTATAAAGGTAAATAAAAAGTATTTGTGTGTGTTTTATCTGAATGGCCAGACTCACAACTCACAAACTGATCCCTCATAGACTTATGGTGATTCATACAAACGGGACAAATGCAGCTTGTAACACCTATGCAGCCTATGGTTACAATTTATGGGCAACAATGCTGTTTACAGTCTTTTCTTCAGGTTCAGTATTTGTTGGCAGCCATTTGATGGACAAACAGCTCATTGTAAGGTAACAAAAACCCAATGATTCTTATATTCAGGTGATTATAAACTAATGAAAACATATCTATGTTACAAACTGGACATTTAAAAAGTCCTGCAAAGTCCCCCTGTTTAATGATGGACTCAGTTCACTGTGTTTTTTTTGCCCTGCCCAATGTGAAATGTTTTTTTTGATTGGGCTTGAAAGACTAAAAGAACATGTTACGCCAACCTCAACTGTACATGCCAACTAACTAATGGGGTTGAGCATTAGTCTGTGAAGCCCTGAATTCAGCCACCGCTTGTCTGTCAATGATGTTTTCCAGAGTGTTTCACAGAGTCTGTGAGAAACTGCAAAGAAGTAATCAGATAAAGGAAATGGATTCCTATTTTCCAGCCATCTCCTTGAGGTGCACTTAATGCACATTGTCTTGCCAAAGCACAAGAGTGCGGACCTGCAATGATGATGCAAAAGTGTGAAATTGAATAAGGGCAGGTGGGAGAACATACTGAAGTGAGAAGCGTCTTTTCTATTATAAAATGCATTAGTCTTTACTAGTCTCTTCAAAATAATGCACTCATGTCAAAAACATGCAATGTCTGTTACACACCAAGACTGTATAGCAAAGTATTCTGTATGTGTAGAAAAAACACCATGTCTCAACATTGCTGATGAATAAGCAGGATAAAACTTTATTAATCAATAAAACTTTGCTCTTTGACAAAGAGATACCTCATAGATCTTTTACATAAATAAATGGTGTTTACATCATCTGTAATACCACTGATGTCATTACTGTACAAACAGACATAATAATTCTGTTACATAGTCAGATTTATCAGAAATTCAGTTACATCTTTTCATGTTTGTTTTGTTGTGTGTGTGTGTGTGTGTGGAATGCATTAGTAACCACTAAAGCTGTAAGGGTTTTTACAAGCCCATGCAAAGCAACTGAGAAGTGGTTAGTATTGCTATTATTATTTATGGAAATTAAGTCAAATGAACGGTTTGATGCCTCTTGTGGGGCAATAATAATATGTCAATTCATCAATACGAGTACAATCGAATGATACACACGTCAGAAGAGTGGACAGATGTTTTCAGTGATTTGGCACAGTTCATAAAGCTACAGATTTCCACATTTTTCTGAGCTATTTCAATGAAACAATGAAATTGATTCAAATATTATACCACCTGTAAAATGAATAGAGGTTTTAGTGTTTGTGCAAACAAGTAATACATGTTTAGAGGTCATTTCTTTACTAACCTCTAGCAGTCTTTTGGTGAGATGGAGTGTGAGGGTTGAAAAATTTCATAGGGCAGTGGAAAAATCCCATTATAAATAAATGAAATGCAATCGCAACTCTGGTGATTGTAGAATTACAGTTTATATTTAACGTCTTTTTTTGGTATTCAGCTGTTGCACTTATCCAGTGATTTACAGTAAGCGCAACCGCTTCAAAGATCACTCATTACTAAGGAGTATGGGGGCGGCACAATCACAGCACCCGGACAGTTTTTTTTGTAGCATTAATGTGCACAAGAGAAGTGGAATGAAAATAAAAGAAAGTGCGAAGAAGAGAGGTAGAAAGGATTTTGGCACCAAGTCTACCCAAACACAATAAAATGAACCATATAAGCAACAGAGATAGTAAATCATACCATTACTAAGACTGAGTTACTATGATTTTGTTTTGTGCCTTGTGTGGTGGTTATTAGCGTGTAAACACTGTGCTTTGCTAATAAAAGTCACTGTAAAGATTGTCTTCTATGCATCAGAGAAGGGGGAGGGGCATTACAAATCAGTGTGCTGTTGGTGAGTCGAAGAGGTGTGAGCTGATTCACGCCTTCAGTTTACAGCTAATCCTTATTCTCCACACAATGGAACTAAAGATAACACCAGAAATTTTGCACCTTGTCCAGTATGTCGCCTCAGAGTTGATAAATACAGTGTCGAGTGGATGTAGGCCCTTTCAGAATCACTGTCCAAGGCTTTGTAACCGTCTTCAGCCTGGGATAAATTTAGACTCCCTCTCATAGATCCAGTGCACTGAATACTAATTCAAATTCTTGTCTTCTGGCCACCGACCACAAGAGGGCTCACAAGCACTCTGGATCCTCATTTACAGGAAGAAACCAGGCCACAAGCAGTTATATATACAGTTTAGCTCACTTAAGAATTTTGTGCCATGGATAGAGAGCTCTTTTAATATCTGTTTGGGCATAATACAGTATTTATGCATGATTTATATACATTTCAAATTGAATTCATCTCAATGCATTTGTATAAAATCAATCTATAAATTGATCCATCCGTCGTCCAAGAGGATGACAATGAAGGTATTTCTCTTAATTTCATTAAATCCACATAATACATCATCATTCATGTTTAAAACTCTAGTTTTTCTGTAAAATTATTCTGGATCTTCTCATGATGCCTACTGAATTTCAGTTAAATAACACAAATGATTTGTGCCAGCAGGTAAATTGTGGCTGTTAAGATAATTATTTGCTTAGTAAGAAGAAACATTTAATAAGTGACCAAGGAGCCTTGGACAGTGGGGTCAGATCACACCTACATCCAATTTGAGATTTTCACTTACAGTGCAAAAACTTACAGTAAGACTTGTCATTTAATTTCACCAATAATCTACAGTAATATGTAAAACAACATTTACAATATAAGCACTATAGAGTAAACATTTTTAACTATATGCAACACTGATCATCTTGTACTTTAACTATATGCTGTCTACTCCAAAAAGCCTATTATGTTGGCCATAAAGTACGATGATTATATTTGTGACTTTTTTGTTACGGATGCACCTAAACAGTGTAATAAACATATTTACAGATTGTGTGGTTTGTATTTACATTCTGTTCATTGCACATAATGATGAATGATAACAATGGGAACATGCAGAACAAATGGGTGGTGAGCAGGTAAGCAGACACAGGAGAAAACACTGTCTCTGCAAATGATATGCAATGAAAATGATGTTCACACAGGCTGCTTTATCTTTGCCATTGTGCTTTGTTTCATCTTAGGTTTGAGACTTTGTCTTATCCAACTATTCATATGACCTTTGTAGTCAAAACAAGGGAAAAAATATATGAATGAAATAATGTTTATAAAAGTAATAAATACCTCACCTGGATTCACAGCAACAGTCCACAGAGACAGTGATAAATAACAGGATTATAGCAAATGGTAGATGAAACTTTGTGCTTTTACGTGTATTAATTATCTAAGCCTGAAAAAGGTGTTTCAACAAAAACACAAGATAAATACTGATGTGTTTTTTTTTTCAATCTTCCCCTCATAAAAACTGAGATTTTAATATAATTCTTCAGCTGTTTGTTTGTTGTGGTCAAACTTTATTTCGTCAAACTGTCAAACAAAGTTTCAAGTACCAAAAAAAGATGAATTTCAGTAAATAACTGAATATGGTATGTGTGCTTGTAAACAAATCAACAAATATGTACAATATATGGCAATGAAACATATTAGAAGTCAGATACAGCAGTTAGACAAATCAGGCTCAAATCATTTCTCAGTTTTTAATTACCCATGAGCACTGTGCTTAACTGTTAACTCATTTGTGCCTGAATACATTACATACAGTACAGTAGGCTATGATCTGTAATATAAACTGGTCAAATGTTTTGTGCACTTAGGTTTATAGCCATCATATGGCAAATGTTTGTCCTCTGTGTCTCCTGTCCTCTTTACAGTTGTTTGCTTTTAGTTGTAGAGTTTCTATATCAAGACCTCACTGTGTTCGCTGATGCTTTTTACCTTATAGAGAAAGCAATGTTTGTTGACTCAGTACTGCATATATGCTTTCTGTCTGAGCCCCTTTTTGTCTGCTTTCCCCCTCCTCTCTTCCTCTCAGAAAAAAATGTATAGTGGTTGCTTTGCAGGGAGGAGGCTGGTGAGGTTTTGACAGGAACTCCTCTGTGTATGTTTAAGGAAAGGAATACCTTTTTCTTTTTTAAAAAGCAAATTTTAGATGTTTTCTCAAGTAACTTATGCTGTATTTTTTGTGTAGACCTCCAAAACATTTTATAAATTTGGATCCCCACTATGCCCACTGTTACAATAGCTGAACCCTCAAGGACAAATCAATGCACTGTAGTCTCAGTGTGAAAACTGCGATATGTGTAAGGTTTCATCTAAGCAGCAACTACAGAATGTTTACAGATCGAACAAATCCAAAGTTCCTGTTGGTGGAGTTTCAGTTCTTGAGCCTTTTCCTTATTCTAGGTGTAATTTTTAAAACGGTGGTTTCCATGGACAAAAAAAAGGAAGAAGAATGTGTTTTCCTTTCAGGAGGTGGTCTTCAATCATGTCCTTTTCCCTCAAAATCTTAGACGTCTGTGTTTGTGTGTGCATGCATATGTGTTTGTTTATGTCTGAATGTATGAATGCACTGTTTACAGTACTGTATATACAGCATGTGTGTGTATAATCATGTGTATGAGAACGTGTTTGCGTAGAGTCTATATGTGCTGCATGTGCAGGTGAAATGTGTTTTAAAGTATGTATGAAAGACAGCGAGAGGCGGGCGGAGGGCAGGAGGCAGCCAGGTGTGTGGGTGTGCATGTGTGAACCTGCTCGTCTGGTCAACACACGCGTCTCTCACTCAAAACGTTCGTAGTTCCTTGTCTGTCTCACACGGGGCACCATGTCCTTCAGGAGTCTGTGGAGACAGAAACAAGGTCTCATTGGAAAGCAAATGTGTAGAAATTACAGCTACTGCAAGGAGTCTCAGCCTGTTTTGGGTCTGAGCACCTCAAGCCAGTACAGAGCTTTCAGGTTCACATGTGACCCTGGCAATGATAGAATACGAATAGGGCCTGATTTACCAAATAAAAGTTAGGAAATATTTCACATCAGCAGCTCAAAGAAATGTTGACAGGGGACTGCTAATGGTTTGTCTCTTACTTGATGCCATATGCCAAAATGATGAGCCCAATGAGAACTCCAATGGTGCCATCCAGAAACCAGACATCAGTATGGTGCTTGAAGACTTCGGCACTGATCAGAATGGAAAATCCCATAACAGCACCGATCATAGAGTTAAACCCTGAAAAACACAAAATGCCATGTCTATTGTGCATCTCAGCAATCAAGTAGTGACATAAATATGCTATACAAATCCTGATAATGACCCATGAAACAATTTAACAATGAGGTTGCCTTACATCCAACTTTAGAGGTGCAGATTTAGCTAGCATAGTGTATTTGAGTTACCCTGTATAGCGGCTGGTGTTTTTATAATTACATTTCTCCTTGTGTGAAAGCTAGCACAGTGGGTTATTGTCTAGCCTGCAGTAAGTGTATAGTCTTGTGGGAAATAAATCCAGGCTCTGAGAACAGCAACCTCAGGTTTATTGGATTGATGCCCTGTGCGTTCTGAGACCAGGGAATAGCAGTGTGCAGTGTGTGTGTCTTGGGCTTTTGTTCACATGTGCATGTGTCTATGAGCAGCCAGTGGATCATAACCTATTACTTCTTCATAATCAGTTATTTGAGCAACTTTCTCTCTCACACAGTATCATGCACACGTATACTCCTAATTGTGGTTTTGGTTTTATTAATTTGGTTTCCTTTTGTTGTCACACGTTTTTTGTTTGGTGTTACTGTGCCCTAACCTCAACAATGGCCACGGTCAATTTTATGCTACTTCTACTTCTGTGCATTTCGGAGGGAAATATTGTACTTTTAACTCAACCACATTTATTTGAGTTATAGCTTCTAGTTACTTTGCAGATTAAGACTTTGGAGGCCTATAATGAGCATATAAAATATGATGTATTGTACCTAGAGTAAATTAAACTACCCAACAGCATATAAAATAGTAAAAGTAGCTCCCTCTGGACCGGCTAAAACACTGAAATGCATCTGACAAGTAAATGCATCAATAATAATCCAAATTTAACATATAATAAAATATACCTATAATTTAATTAACATACTGTATTGCAACTTTTACTCCAGATAAGGGCCTTACTACCTCTGTTTAAACATTACATATATTTTAAGTATATCAACTGTATACACTATCTAAACATCTTAATTTGAATTTTAATAATTTATGTACATTTACTATAATGTGATTAAATACACATGGTTTAAACACATTTTTTTCCAATTTACCAAGAGTGTAATTAATAAAGTCAGTCAGTTCTGTAACTGTTCTGATTGAGCTGCTTGTCATTAGCAGGAGAGAGACAGAAACAATAATTATCAACACTGAAAGGCTAAAGAAATCGCTAATGAGTTATGGAAAACAAGATCATTTTCCTGGTCGATTCCTCTGTACTTAAGGCCGAATACTATTTCCTACTGCCATTCTGTAGCTTTGTAAAGACCTCTTATATTGCTTTGCTATTAATTTATTTATATTTAACTATGTGTATGTGTGTGAGTGCGTGTGTTTACCCTACCGTCAGTGATAAGTGCCCGGCTAGTCAGCACTCTTCCCAACATGAACTTGGCCACAGCCAGAAGAGCACATGTGAGCCCGCTCACTATAGACACACTGAAGAGGAAGTCATCCTAAAGAAAGATAAGGAAGAGAAGATAGAGGGGCAGCTTATTTGTATACCAGGTAAACCATGTGTGTTGGATGACATAAAAAGAGGAAAAGATAAAGATAAAGAGAGAGAAAGCTACACACAGCGTCTGCAAAGCAGACACTAAAAGCGCCAGCATTATCAGTCAGACAGAACGACCCACAAAGCTTTCGTCAGCTCAAGCATTAATAATACATGTACAGGCCTGACTTGGTGCATCAAGCCAAGGTCATAAACAGATGACGCCTCAAAGTGATGTGAGGGTCTGGTGTTTTCAATTTAAGTCTCAAACAGACTCAGCAAAAACCAACACTTGACCCCAGAGTGTCTCTCTATCAGATTTAATTGGCCCAACAGGGGGAGAGACAGAGACAAGGATCAGAGAAATGGAATGGGGGAGAAACTGGGAAAATAAGAGACATATATGACAAAAATCCAACTGTACTGTTTTTCCAGACTTTATGTTTCTTCAACAAGCTTTTGATCAGGGCTATTTATAACATAAACCAGTGTATAGCCGTGGTGGTTGGTGTGGGCGTGTAGCCACACAATAGGTATTTTTCACAGCAGACAATTTGACTGAATCATAGAAGAAAAAACTCATGTGTTACTAGATACATTAACAAAGGCTTCATTCTAGTAAAGGAAGTCATTAAACAGTGACAGTGACTGTGAGTCAGCATGCACAATACCTGGACCAAAAAACTAATGCAGCTAAATGGAATTCAGCAATCATTGTGCAAATAGACAAAATACAAACAAACTAACAAAAAAAAACATCTTCCCTAATCTGACAGCACATGCACGTCATTTAGGAGGAATGCATCAACAATCCAATACAGAAAGGCTGCAAGTAGCACAGACGACAACAGAAACCATTTCCAGGTGACACTAAAAAGCAATGAACATGGCTGGGAAACTTCTCTTTTTGCCATGGGTTGTGAGTCATGAAGTTCCTGAAGTCGTCTATCTGTTAGAAAATTAGTTACAATTTAAGTCTGTTTTGGTGGGACAACCCAGCCTCGTCACATATGCTGTCAAATTGGTAAAGATATTTTCTTTTTGACTGTTTCTGTCTGTTTTCTTAAAGATCCAGTGTATAACATTTAGATGACTATATTGGCAGAAATGGAATATAATATCCATAGGTGGTGAAGCGAGGGTGTTGCAATCTGCAACTACACCGCTAGATGCCACTAAATCCTACATGCTGCAGTGAGTTGAAGGGCCACTGGAGTATTGTTGTCTCTCCTGTTTTATTGAGTAGTCAGCACACTCATAAGTTTGACTCTGACTTAATGTCAATTGAATCTACATTAACATAAAACACAAATGTATGTTACATCTCGGACACACACTAAAACTGTACTACCAAAACTGTACTACCACACATTTTTGTGCTGCTGTGGGATTAGACTTGATATGACTTATCTGAACTCTTATTTCAGTGTCCTCTATTGCAAAAAGTACTCATTTCAGTCACATTGCTACCATCTGTGGGACTAAATACTGAAGATGTAGACATGAATTACTAATCATAGTATGTATTTATTTAAGGCACTACGCACTTATGGTCCATCCACACAGGTTTTCACTTAATTTGCCTCACAGTGTCTAGGTTTACTAGGATACTTAATAATAGCCATCATTAATATTATTAGTACTTTGTGCATATATAATAGATATTTGTGGGTTGTGGCAGCAAATTCAGATGTCACACGCAATCATCATCATTTTGTGTCATTACTGACAGGTTGCAAAATCATAACTTTCTTATAGTAAATGACACATTGCATAGGATTGCTAATGGACAGAACACGCTATGGACACTACTTTTTTGCATTCCATTGTGGGAAATTTTGAAGGCATTATGTAGTGCATTGTAGTTTAAGCTCTTGATAGCTGGTCAGCTATAGCTTGTTAATTCCTTACACCCTTTTTACTCCCATTTAACGGAAACGTAAGACTACAAAATGAAACAAAACGAAAAACTGACTTGTAAGTGTGTCACCCCATGCATGTACTTTATGTATGTATTTGTTGGATCAGTGTGTGTTACCCTCTCTCCTTCCAGCCCAGAGGAGGCAGGGAGAGACGATCTCAGCTCTCTGTGTTTAATCAGGCACTAGACACAGACAGCCTGCCATGAGACCAGCAACCCAGGACGTGATACGAATCAGGATTCCTGATTTCTTTCACCCTTTGTCCACGCAATGTGATTTTACAGCCTGATACTTCAAGGTAGCAACATTTTACAGTATTCACGCTGTAGTGCTGCTGTTATCCTCTGACTGTAAAGGACAATCTCTCAGAAGAAGAAACCAGATAATCAAGTACCTTTGATGATCAATATACTTAACATGCACATTCTAATGTCCCTCTAAAACTTGACATTTTCCTTCTTTCTGTTCATAACCTATATATCTTTCAGTTGCGAGCACAGTCCTGCAGACACATACAAACACAGCACATAAATAGATCACTGCTGGTACTATGAATCACCTCTGACTGCTGTTTGATGAAGAATTCTGTGAATAAGCGTGTTTTTGCACAAAAAAGCCCAAAGGTGGATACAGAGGAAGAGAAGCAAAGACATGGTAATGAAGGGAGACAGACTAGGTGAGCTGGCAGGGATAGGTTCGAGAAACAGACTGGGTATAATGATGAAAGAGGGGCGAGAGAAACAATGAAAGAGATGGGATATGGAAGAAAGGGACCGAGAGAGACCGGCAAAAGATAATGAATGAGGTAGTGAGGGAAGAAGGTAGAGAGATGCTTGATAAATGAGACAGAATAAGATGAACCTGTCCTATAAACTCCTGCATCTACAAATCCAGCTAAGCCTATAGCCAGTGAAAGTATTATGCATAAAAGGAAAGCGCCAGATGGCTGACATCACTCTTCAACAAACTGATGATCAACTAGATGTAGCTTACATGCCAAGAATAACCCACCACAGGCCTGGACAGAATCTGTAGTTGTCTTGTTCTTTCACACCACTGATTAGGTGCCAAAGATATACGTTTATATGCACAAAACATCCATTAAATTTAAAAATAAAAATGATAAGACAGGGTGCTTTGAATCCCGGATGGAAGGTAGAAAGAAGAGAGAGAGATGGTGAAGAAAAGAGAGAATGTCAAAGAGAAAGACAGTGGTAATAGGCTCTTGCTGGTGTCAGGAAGCTCCTCTGAGACCTAACACCCACAGTTTCTATTAACATAATGGCACTGGAGCATCAAACGCAGTCTGCAGACTAGCTGCTGCCCTTAGCCTGCTTCTCTACTGGCTTCAGTCTCTTGGCTTTATCTATTTTGATTTGTGGTCAAAGGGGCTTCAGTGACTCAATTTTTACACCATCAAACAAGCACTTAAAAATAATCAAGAAGGCACACACTTGGTTTGTCTAGTACAGATAAGACAAACCAAGACCAAAACTTGGCATATTTATCCTTTAAATCACATCATTTCAACATGAATGCCAGCACTGTTTTCCTGTCTTCTCCTCTCCTCTACTCTTGATCTGTTGTTTCTCACTCTTTTGAAACAGCAGTTATTATTTTGCTTTATGTGTGTGAGTTTTATACACAATCGCTCTGTTGCTACCTGCCTTTTAATCACTGTACAGTAACAAAGCTTTAGGAGAGATAAATCGAGGTGAGTCCAAGACTTAACGCAAGGTGAATTTTACACGATTGCATATATAGTCACAGATGGGCCCAAATAGAGGGTCATTTACCGGGGGTGATGCTAACTAAGACTACTAAGACTATAAATTCACGCTTCTCTGGACTTTATGAATCTGCTTCATAAATATACACACAATGGTCAAACAGTTAACGTATATACAGTCCGCACATTGGCAATATGCGTAATTAAAAAATTCACAGCTATCCCGGAGCTTTATGCAACAGCTTCATAAACTTTGTAACATCTATTAGGGACAACTTTCAAAACTAATGTTATTCCCTTGTTCAAAATGTACACAGAAGAAAAAGGAGAGAGATGCATTCAGTGGTCAGTGCATCCATTGCTAGCATGCAGCTGGAACATTGGTTAAACACAAACTGCATTAGCAGTCAAATTTGTCCAAATAACCCAAGGCAGAAAATAGCTTAACTTTGTGTGCAAATAACTAAAATTACTTTCTGTGGATATTTTACAACAGTATTACAAGTATTAAACCAGTCATATAATGCAGACAAATTATAATGAAGCATAAATATGCAAGAAAGAATATTACCATTACAATAAACAATAAAAAAGCTGATTTTTCTTCATTTTCAGAAAGTACCTTGTGTAGTTCTGGCCACTAGTGGCAGTATAGAGCAATATTTTCATAAGTGGGTATGCTTTTTGTTTTTATCTCGTACACCCGCACAAGGATGCACAGCACATATTCTAGCACACATTTCACATTCTTGACATGATTTTTACGACAGACAAGGAAATAAAAGCTGATGTAAACATTCATTTATTACTAGGAAGGAAATGCATTCAACACATTTGTTAGGCCTCAGATATATAGACACTTTTTTATATAGACACACTTTTGTTTTTTGTTTCTTTAGAATAAAAATCCACAAGGGACCTTTAGGATACACTCCCTGATTTTGTTAAACGGCTCAATAGTACCTCCAAAACCTTCAAGTGTCAAATTTTCTCTCAGCTCAGTGCTGTTTTAAGACTCAAGTTTAAAAATATCAATAGAGAAATGTGAAGATATTTTGGGATTTAGGAGCACTGCTGGGCTCTATAACAAAATAAAGAAGTGCATCTTAAACCTTTGAAACTACATAATAAGTAAACTCGCAGAGGAACTGTGTTTTTAAACTCTGGCGTTCCTCTCTGTCTTGGATTCACTGGTTAGTGAAAAGGACAGATGGTGAAGGTTAAATCATTTACAAACCAAATAGAAGGGTTCAGAACTGGAAAGGAGGCGATGGGCACTCCGCAAGCAGTGTGATGATGGAAGAGTCGGACCGTGCCCCAGCAACAGAAAGACAAGACTATTTTGGGACCTTATTCATAGTCTTAACACCTCCAGCGAGAGGTGGCGGTGGAGGGGGGTAAGTGATGTTGACATTAAAAAGAAAGTGTGTGTGCATGTCTGTGTCGAAGAGAAAAAGGAAACAAAAGTCAGGTGGAGGGAGACAAAAACTCTGACGTCAGAAGAACCACAGTGGAGGGCTATAAAAAGATACCTCACTCACAACAATGAACCGTTTGTGTTGCTCACTGTACATGGACTGCATGTGTGTATTGATTCAAAACAGACTCCAGACTTTTGCCAAAAAGGATGTATATTATAGACACAAATCAGAGGATTCCCCTTTTTATCACACATGATTTACAGTCTGACAATAATTTCAATGTAAGAGTTTATAGGGGTGATCTACAAATCTACAGTTACATAAAACATAAAATTCAGTTTACTTGTCACAAGAAATATCATACAGCCTGTGAAAACAGCTGTATGAGGTTTACTTTGGCGTTGGAAGAGCATTTCTTTCTTTCTGTCTTTTCCTAAAAAAAAACCCTGATGTTTTTTTGACACTTAAAATTTCACAAACTACAAACTTGGGGAAAAAAGCCTTTTGTTTGGCAAAAAAGTGTTAGAAATGTCAGGTGTGGAATGTATCAAATGAAAGACACGCATTATGGGAAGTGTAGGATCGAGGCTGCTTGAAGCTTGATTCATACTGGACAAATTTTGACCATTCTTTTTCAAATCTTGTGAATCCCAATATTACATTCAAAATGAAATTTCTGCCATAGCTTAGTTTAAAATCCTAATTCAAATGAATGAAAACATACCTATGAATATTACATCCCATTTCTGCCATTATATCCTCCTAAATCTTACACACTGGACCTCCTGCCTCTGTGGACAATCCCACAATGCATTGTGTCTTTTTTTATAGAAAGTGTTACTGTCAGTGAGGATACAAAATTATTTCTCTATCCTTAATCTCTATTAATTTATTTATTCCTCTAATCTTAATGTCTATAAAGGGCACAATTGGTATCAAGTTTGGTTAGGGACAATAAAAAAACACATGGTTATGGTTAGGGTAAGACCCAAATTATTATATTATTAATGATCAATATGAGCAAAATTCCTACAAAGAGTGGGCTAGTGTGTGTGTGTGGTCTTACCACTTCTGGGGGAACCCTGGTAGCCAGATCATGGATGGCCTTTCCAAGGATGCACAAGGAGGAGAGAACGAACACAATCCCAAGGACTACACATGCTCTGCAGAAAGACATACAGAGTGCAAAGTGTTAGCTTCAGTGACTCTGATCTGTTTTCTTTCTCATTTTAATCTGGTTAATTTATAATATTCTTGCTGCAGTGAGGACCGAAAAAAAAAAATTTTTAAAGTACCATCACATAAACATTAATAAATGATACTTGCAGTGGCCTTTGGCAGTCTGGTGAAATATTGAAAGGACTCAAAAACAACAACTCCTGCCCACTGCTTTGAATAACAAGCAGTTCATCAACATGACACATGTCAGTAATAACATTATCAGTGATATGATGCATCAATTCCCTCCTATTACACAAAATAGATAATGTCATGGTGAGGCACAGTTCATGAAGTAACAGCCTGATTTGAGCAATAATACATACAAATAATCTCAAAACCAAATTTCTTAAACAACACAGTCACAGTGTTTGGCAGATGTCAGGAGACTATTTGCAGTCTATTTGCTCTGTGTGCAACCAGAATAAACAATTTCCCGACTTCTGTCAGAGCGCTCGGGGGTGGCACTTTGTGGTGTCAGTTTAGTTTATTAAAAAATATCAGGCATAATGAGGTGAATGTTACGATACATTATCGGGGGCGGGGTGGTTTGCTCTGGCAGCAGTGGAACAAGATGTGGTAACTCAATACCTCTCCATTGCTTGATTTACTTTCTCACTTCCTCTGACACATCTGCTGGGCCTGAATTACAATGTCTGTGTCCCATCTATCTCACTACAGGACAGAGACACAGTATCTGACAGGTGCAGTGAAGTGGTGTTTATCCTTTGCAGATTTGGATGGTGGTTGCTCACAATAAAACTGCCACAATTTACTAAGAAAAAGGCAACTTTTAAAATCTGCACATTTTTGAGAAATGCTTCTCTCCGAGACACACTTGAAAATTATTCAGCTTTCACAATCACTGCGATTCTAACTGCTAAAACATGCATACATTACCAAGAAACTGGTATATTAACAAATCCCAAATTCTCTTCAAATCCCACAGCTAAAACTATAATGGGGAAATCGTCTGTGTTCTCTCAGTTATAGGTGTAACCCGAAAGTCTCATTCTGTCTCATTAAAACATTTTGTTTTTGTACCATTACAGGAAGATGTATGTCCTGTAAAATAGTGGTGTAGGATGGGCCAGATGTTTGGCATGACACAGAAATAAGATCAAACAAACCAACTTACATATAAAAACCGACAGGTTTAAGCAACAGCACATATGGACAGACTTTAGGTCAGACTTTATTAGCCCAGTTTATTTCTGTTTACAACAAATGGGGCATTGAAATGTATGTGTGTGTGCAGTTATTTGACAAATATCACTACTAGTATCGTTACCGATTAAGATTTCACGTTAAATTATAAAACACAATGCACAGCTAAAGATAAAAGTGCAAATGGTATAAATATTAGAGAAAAGTCACAAATGGTGATTATATCCTAATAAAAACATGAATATTATATTTTATTACTGCCAATAGATCCCAGTAAATGTTGGACCACTAAACACTCTCAATATTGTACTGATGCCTCTACATGACCTACCTGAACAAAACAAGACTGTAAACAGGAAAACTACCTTTTTCTATATATTACTCTTAAAGCCCGCCACCCGGATTCCACTTTAAATCAATGAAAAAAGGCAGCACAAACACTATTACTCTACTCGTACTCTTTTGTCCACTGGGGCTGTCAGAATCAACACAAAAGGGACGTTCCTTGTAGGGGCTTTAAGTAAAGGATCTGTGTGCTTCCTCTAACACTGTGTGTTACATGGTTTTGTATATTAAGTATGAAAAAGAGTAGAAAAATCTTTTGTGTGTGGTAATGATTTTGTAGACTGAGGTGTGTGTGTGTGTGTGTGTGTGTGTGTGTTAATGGAGGGTAGAGTGGCAGCTACATCTTTCATCATCTGTGACACCTCTGAGCTAGACAGAGGTGCTGTTGTAAGACGAACAAGGCTCTGTGTAACCCGACAGCCACTTGAGCTGCAGCAGGTCTTAAAACTGATGGATTAACAGCCTTGTGTTTAGCAGTGATGTACGGCGACATACAGTAAGTGACTTTGTTCAGTTACGAATATATTGCTCCCTTACACCCTCAAATGAAGAAATAGTCTCTCAAATGATTTGGTGTGTCCAGTTGGGTATGAAAGTTTGAAAGCCTAACAAGATGGGGCTTCACATTCTGTGTGGGCAAGTAGATATAGCAATTCAACGTTTCGACCTTGCAAAACACTTTCCCCCCCATTTTTTCTATTTCTGAGCTCTCTGAATAAAGCTAAGTGGTTTATTTTTCAGAATAACACTAAGACATGTCACAAACACATGCATGAACATGACTGAATTGTATAGAGATGAAACCCTTAAATAGTATATGAGAATTACAGAGAAATACAGAAACTCTCTTACTATGATGCAGGTGGAGAAGAGTAACCCAAATTGCATCACACCACACAGATTCATCATTAATCAAGCATTAATTAAACTCAGCATGTTGTTTGGTACTCACATATACTCTCTGTGTGCAGAGTGTACAGCTGCTGCATTGCTGTAGCGCCAGAGAACAATGACTGATGACAGGACATCCAGCGTGGCATCAAACTACAGCAGAAACATAAATGAGCAACGGAGGAAAATAGGAAAGGTTCTTAAAGCTGGGGTAAGCAGTTTTTTTATTATTTGTGCATCAATCAGCAAATATTCCATGATACCATTCAGTATATTGTAATTTAAATGGTCTGAGAGAAAACTAGACTTCTGCACCTCCTTTTGGCTCTGTTTTCAGGCTTTAGAAAATTTTGCCCGTGGTGGAAGATTTTGGCCAATTACAGGATATTTCAGAGAGAGGGCGTTCCTATTGGCTGTTCTACAAATGCAGATGCATGTGCACGTCTTTTCAGATGGCGAACGTCCCCTCCACACTTGGTTTTAGCATTCTGCCAGCGCTGGATAAAGTGGAAGTGAAAGATCTTGATTCAATGGCGGAAAATTCCTCCTTTACCTATAACAATGTTTAGTATGGAATACGTGTGATGGCGCTCTTATTGACGAGAGCTACTGTGTGCATAATAGCCATGTGACTTTCTCTGGCACAAAGCTGACCATGTCCAATTTCCTTTTTGGTGTAATTAGAGGTCAGTGTGACAGTCCAATAACACTGCTCCCCAGCCCGGAGAAAAGTGTTGCTGAGCAGTCGTAAAGTCTGGACCATACTCTCATCCTGCTGTTAGATGGCGTCACAGCTGGGACACTGGGCCGCAGAGCCCTTGAGGTGTGATAAGTCGCGGAGAGTGAGCCCTACAATGCGTGAAGTTTCGCAGGGCAACTGACTCCGTCTGCTGTGTTTTAAACTTGTGGGTTTGGTGGGAGGGGCTTAGTGGAGTTATATGAGGTAGCAGAGAGAGAGAGAGAGAGAGAGAGAGAGAGAGGGGCAAGGTTTTGTATTGAGTTGTGTGTTTAAACTACCTAACCCAGCTTTAAGTTACAAGTTATTACAGTAAGTACTTATTGCAAAAAAAGATGTAACTTAAAAATTGCATTTATTAATGAATGTTTACTTGAACAAAATAGAATAATGAAGCACTTCATCTTATGGGCTTTTATTCAGTCTAATTAGTAAATCACATTATCGCGAAACATATAATGACTATTGATGTTTTATTCCCACAGGGGAATCAAGGTGATATACATTATTACCTTCAACCATTGGATACTTTGTGCTGGTCTTGGGATTCTCAAAGAAGATGAAAGAAAGTCTGATATCCCCTAATGCTATATCATAAAATATGGTACGATCATTATCATTTAATTTTCAAGTCACATAATGTACCTGTAAAAGCTCAAAGAAAAATGTCAACTTTCAACATGATAGCAGCTAAAGCTACCAACGATCAGTGGCTGTGATCTAACCCTTTCGCGTTGAGTTATAACAACTTATTGTCTTCTTGCCACTTTATTAAAACTGTCATAGGAAGCCCAGCACTTGCTAATTAAAACCCAATCTTTAATAAAGACATAGCTAGCTGGCCTAGGGGATGGATGATTTAATTTTGACTTCAATCTTATTAAGTCTCATTTTTTAAACTAATTATGCTCTCAATCATTTCCTCTAAATAATAAGTAGTACCAAGCTTTATTTTGATGAAAGCCATCAGATATGTTTAGCCAGCACAAACAGCATTTTGACATTCAACCCGAGCTCCATGCCCAGTCTCTCCTCTCTGCCCTGTTACCTTGGAGACAAAGGGACCAATAATACGTTGGTAACAGGAGTCATTAATAAATCACAGACACCAAGGTTATGACTAATTGATCAATGCAAATGGGAAGAAAGGAGGTGGAACTTACGGCAAATCCAAAGGCTGACGCACTGTGTCTCATGAATGACTACAGCTGGGTGGAGAGAGAGGAAGAGAGAGAGAGAGAGAGAGAGCAGTTAGTACTGATTGATTAGTTTTTATTTCAGTAGTCAGTTTTATTGTATAGTTAATGTGACATTAGTGACTTTCAGAATTTGCTGGCTGGAGACAAGATACAACATTAATTTTTCCAGTTGCATTAATGATGCACATTCATATGTTTATCTGCACATAGAATGCATTGTGTATAATTAAGATGATTCATCTTGTGCGCAGAAAAACACAACTTAATGATGCAAAATAAATTGCGAGATGAAACACAACTTACAGAAATTAGTACAGAAAGTACAACTCTGATAGACACAACTACAATGTAGAATTCATACACAAAAGAAAATCTCTATTCATCTTTTTTTTTAAAACATGAGCCTGCTGTGCCTGTAAACAGGTTGCTGACAGTGGTGAGCTGAAACAGTAAAGTTGTACGCCAGAAACCCCACAAATTAGCTGAAAGACACAAGATCACTCCATAGATTCAAGATTCAAGATTGAAGATTCAAGATATAAAGGCTGCCACATAAAAAATACATACAGTTGGTGCAGTAACATACAAGTGCAGATAAAAGTGCATTCAGATCCACGCAACATAGCCCCACATTTCACACCCTTTACTTATAGAGGAATGGAACATATTTTTTAAATACATATTCAGGGATCTTTTCCTGTATTTAAAGGATCAGTGTGTAGGATNNTTGCAGATTGCAACTCCCTCGCCTCACCCTCTCCTTCCAAGCACGAAGGACAAACTACGGGGGCCACAAAACAAACAAAAAACACGAAAGGTTCTATTGTAGAAACATGGTGGTTGAAGACTGCCTCTGTAGATAAAAATGTCTCATTCTCAGGTAACAAAAAACACAACAATTCTTATTTATAGGTAACATATAACTATTCAATTTCTGCCAACAGATCCTCCTAAATGTAACACACTGGACCTTTAATTGGAGCAATAATTGTCCTTGCTTCTTTAACTATTGTCTTCTCAAAGAGCATTTGAAGGGTCCCCAATCTCAATGCAGTCCTCTAGAGGGACTCTACCTCATCATCTCCAACACTTTCATTGCCCAAGCTGAGATTGGCATTGACATAATTATCCTCTGTCCATCCCTAAACACACTGAGTCTGCGCAAGAAATATAGTCACTGTTGGATCCTTCTGTATACAGAATTCACATGACATGCTAAGACAGGTTAAAGTCAATATGTACACTCGTATTTGTAAGAGATAAAGCTAAGGGGGAAATGCAGAGTTGGGTAATAATTAAATAAAAAAAAACAATTAAATGTTGTTCTGCAACAAAGATATTTAATAACAACATTTTGAAGTCTCCCTTGAGCCTGGCTAGATGCATAAAGGTTTCCTGAATGGGATGGAGGGCATTGTATTCTTCTTTGCAGTGCAGTCCCTGTTTAACACACCTGTGCTATTTTGCCCTTCTGCCTGTCTTTATGTTACTTTCTCTCTTTCTCTCTCTCCCCTTGTATTTTCAGGACAGAGTCTCAGGGGACAGCATATCGGCAGTTAAATCACCATGGTAACAGGAGATTTGAGGCCAAGCCGGGAGTTGGTTTGAACTGCAGAGCTTTCATCTTCTTCCTGCATTTCTCCCCTCTTCATTCTCCTGGCCCCTGTTTTCTCTCAGACTCTCAGATTCTGATTTCCTTTGACACTTTCATCCTTTCTTCCCCTTCCTTCATATCCCAAGATCTCTTGTCTCATCTTTGAGTGGCTGCCTTTTTGGCTGCTTGATTCATTCTGATTTAGAGCTCACTGCTCTACAGTGGCAGACGTTGTGGCAGTGACGATGAATTTCGCCAGGCGCTAACAAATATTTAAAGTTAGAACTAGCTTCAGCCGAACCAGATTCAGCCTGAACTACAGTTACACGAAAAGGGAAGCACATTAGAGAGACGAAGGGAAAATGAACAGGAGGGGAAACAAAATGATGGATAGGAGGTGAAAAGAGGGAATAAAGAGAGAGGAAAGGAGAGGGCAGTCCCAGACAGACCTTTGATATAAGGCAGATGGTACTAGTCAGGCTGCGTGTGTAACACATGACTGCCCACACACACTCACACACACATATGCTGTCCCTGTGTCTTGCTCTGTCTCGGAAACCGTCACCCAGAGTCTCCCTCTCTTTCTTACTAACACGTCCTCTTTCTTGATTGTCTTCTCTCACGTACAAACACTCTCACATACAGAGGGTGAGCAGAATCTCTGGAGCTCCACCAGGCCTTCAGTCCATCTGGGAAGTCCAGAAGCTGAGCCAAACATGAGTGTGCATGCTTTTTTTTACCATGAATTTAAGAACCAAATACAGGGGGAACAATTGAAAACCTCTAACTTTACTCTACCTTTGTCACGATGCTTGAACATAATCCCTTGTGTCAGTTTGAGCAGTGACAATTTAAGCTATAAACTGCTTGTTAGCTCGTCAGACTTGCCAACATTTAATAGCAAGCAATGTTGTGGAACATTGTTCTGTTCTTTGTGGAAGAAATTATGACAGCTGATCAATAAAGTGAGCCAGAGAGTTGAAATCACATGATAATAAACATCATATTAATTATGTTTATAGGTCAGTGTCATGAATGCACCGTGAGACTGTAAAGAACCTGCACTTTTTACATGGGTGTCTTGGTTCCTGATGCATTCCTGCTCCATAACTGTACATTAATCTCATAAAAGTTAATTTCCTGAAGAAGAATGATAACTTGCAGCCCATATCAGTGCTGTGTAATTGTAACAAATGAGCTTATTATCAATCACAAGCTCTAAACCCATACTTTATTCACATGGAGATAAATTTTGATCAAGAGAAAACAATCCTGGAAAAAGAAGAGCAAGCACAGGGAACGATCCTTAAAGTTATCGTGTTAACTACCTTCTTAATAACATTTCCTCAGTTCCTCAGATATCTTCTAAGACGTTCTGACATGATTTGAGATTTGAGACCACAGGGTCAAACAAGAAGTGTTAAAGTGAAATATTTAGGAGAAATAATGAGCATATTCTAGGTATTAAAAAAACAACTATAATTTCATATATTTAAAAAAAAACAACAAGAACATAATAAAAATAAGAAATAAAAACAATGGCAGGTTCTTACTACATTAAAATATTATCAAGAAACAATGTTATTTTTACACCAACTAATAGCACAAAAGAAAGATAATCTTGATTTTTGTTATTCTGATTTGAGCTAATACAATTTAGGTAATCTGCTGGCATTTTATATTATATCTTATTTCGAGCGACCTGCCTGGACGACACATCTCATGAAACAGAGTTGTTGTTGTGTGCATATAATGCTTTAACGCCCAGTGACGAAATACCATGAGGGTTTGAGAAATACAAAGTGGACACAGGTCACTGATTTGATAGGGGCATGAGCAGAGATGTATCCTAAATCCTATAGTGGAAACTGCAAGGTTAACTAATGACTGCCTATTGTAGTACAGAGTGGCTCTCTGCCTGCATTAGGGCCCACCCTGGGTGGATGTCATGTATACTATTGACCCATTTAGGAAGACCAGATAGACCACACACAAACATAAAACAGAGTGTGTGTTATGTGTGCAAGTGTGTGTGTACCTCCCAGTGAGTGTGTGGATTAAGTCAAAAGCTGTATGGACTTTTTTTTTTGCCCTTAGTGTCTAACTAGTTGGCCACCCCTGCCCTAGAGATCTGCCCTGGACAACCATAATCCCACCCTGGTGGGTAATTTTAAATCCTCAGTGCTTTGCTCAGGAGCACTGAATCACCCCCCTTGTTCAGAATTTCCTACTTGGTAATTGTTAGAGACGTCAAGCTGTTACTTTGTTAAAAACTAAGGCATAATTTGTGATAGAAACTGATCTAGGTCTGTCTGTTTCTCTTTTTCTTTAAACCTACAGCACATGATCTTTGCTGTGATTAAAGATTAACGGGTATACATCCAGGGGTAGATTGTGACCTTGATGATAATTGGCTGTTGAGGATCTAAAAGCCTCTATGTGTGACCGTCTACATTCCTAGAGAGCCTCTGATAAGAGTTCAGAGCTGAAACATGCTGGCTGAGAAGCACTGACCCATAAAGTGTCATGGGTTTCACATAGTTTTATGGTTTCCAAGCGATATAACGTGCACATTTGAAGAACACATACAACTCCAAGTTATGCCTAAATAACAGATTGATTATAGGTAGATATTAGTTTGTTTCCTTTGCAATGAAAATCTCTTGACAGAGTTTATATGTCTATATATTCTGAACTTGTGACTACAGCGTGCCTGTGATCATCGAAACCATGTCATCCTTTTCCAACTTTAAGGCCATGTTCAACATTTTCTCATAAATACTATAGATAATGTACAGTGAGTGATATTATCACACAAGCTTAACAATACTAGGAAATTAACTGTAGTGATTAAATATGGTGATTCATGCTAAAAAATCAAATAGCTCATACTCAAAGAGTAATGACATAAAATCTTGTAATACAATGTTTAAAATTTCCCAAAACTATTTAAGCTGCATGTAATGATTTACTGGCCAAAGAAGATAATAATATAAAAATATATAAAAAAACATATTTAATGCTTCTCCGGGGAAAATCAGTGACAAGAGTCTTTTCTCTGAATTTCTCTCTGTATAATAAATTGTTTGTCTGACCCTCTGTCTTCAAAAGCAATGCAGTGTCAGCTGGATTGTTAATCAACATTTTCACTGAGGAAGCACTCTGTGCACACACACACACACACAGTCTTTAGTCAGTGTTTAAAATGTTTTCAGCTCCAGAAAGAACAGATGTCCTCTCTGTATGTCTGTGTCGTTCATCTAGAAACTCATTTGGGAAGAATTTAAGACTCCTCAGCTTTATCACCAACTTAAGCTCACCTCTTCCATTTAGACCTCACATCTACCCTAATTTTAACAAGCAGAAAAGCACAGTCCATTTGTTATCGTCATCAGGCCAAATACGCAGA